TTTTTTTTTTTTTTTGGGAGTAATAATAATTTTCGTTCTACTAGTATATGGTCAATCCGGTCTACTAAATTGATAAATTTATCCATTCAAATATGTATTTACTATTTATATATTTGTATTATTTTATGATGAGTGTTTGATAGATTTATCCATTCAAACTTTCAATATGTATTTACTATTTGTATATTTGTATTATTTTATGATGAATGTTTGTATTTAATATTTATATTAATTAATTCGTTATTATCAATTATTTTACAGATAAAAAAATAAAAAAGGAAGCAACAGATGGCGAGGGCTTAGGAGTTACGGCAGGGCTCGGTAGACCAGCGGTACTTTCTGTTGACAGCAGTGGAATGGGATGTTGGACCCGGTTTCCAACGAGTTAAAGCTGGACAAAAAAGCGGCAAACCGGATATTACACAAGCGGAGTTAAACCACCAGTACTTGGCCCACCTATCAGTCGCGGAAAAAGAATAGAGTGGAAACATTTCTAGCCGGATGAATTTGGGCGCTCCTGTAGTGGCCTGTACGTTTCCTAAAAACGTGGCTCGTTAACGGGCACGACCTTAGGAAGTACTGGTGGTTTAAGGTGTGGGAAGCCTACAAAGCAGCAAGCAGCAAAAGGATACGGTTTGGGGTCTATGGTAGGGGTAACCAAGAACACCTGCATTTCTTGTTGACATCAGTTGAATGAGATGCTGGACGCGGTTTCCAGCACTAGCCGAAAATCTGGATATTGGCCCCACTACTCAGGGTGGAGATGTGGAGGGATTCCCGGCATCCAAAAGGATTTCTGGTAATAAAATTAATTGATTTATTTATTTATTTCTTTTTAAAGGCCGGGAAAGATGAAGGACCTATAATGAATCTCAATGATACATAGATTATGACCAATGCAATGCGTCTGCAACATAGTTCAGGTTTCAAAAACACAGTTTCCTTCGAAGTAAAAGAACTTCAAAGAAGGGAACGTTGTATCGGGGATGCTGGACCCCGTTTCCAGCAGGTGACGCATCCAACCAGAAAAATAGATGACCAATGCAACGTGTCTGCAACATAGTTCAGACTTCGAAAACACAGTTTCCTTCGAAGTAAAAAAAAGAAGGGAACGTTGCTTCAGGGATGCTGGACCCCGTTTCCAGCAGGTGACGCATCCTACCAAGAAAATAGATCAAGAGCACCTGAGCAGGAATACTACTGTCTTCACCCCAATAGAACGCCCGGTCATTATAGCTGTACTTGGTGCAACTTTCAGTCTACACACAGCGATAATGACCGAGCATTCCATTCGGGAAAAAGAAGGTAGGGGGAGATGCTTGTATCACTCGCCCAAGTGACCTGACTCTAGTATTTCCCAAAAAGAAAAGGCCACCCTGTCCACTCAGGAGCATAGGGACCTGTTTTTCAGAGGGGGGGGGGGGGGGAAGGAAAAAGAAACAAGGCGCCCTCTTTTCTCTGGCTTTTGACTCCCTTTCCCGCTCATAGAATTTCATGGGGGAAAGAAATACACAAGTTCATGACGGAGAAAACCAACAAAATTTCCGATAAACAAAAGTACAGAATTTCAGAAACACTGAAGTTGAGGCACTGATTGCCATGGAGGCAGCCAGCCCGCCATGATGCACTCCCCTTCTCCTTCCCCCCCCCCCCTCCCCCCCACCCACCCACACACACAATCCAGCCCCATCCGGGATTGAATTCACCCTTATGGTCCCTAAATCTATTCTGGTAAATGTGGGTGGGCATTCACTGCTACTGCTTCTCTACAAAGAAAGACGAGTCATCTCACCTTTGTCTGCACTTTACGCAGCAACTCCTCCAAGGCTCCTTCCTGCGTCGCCTCCACTGAAATCTGTGCTATTTGTTCTTTATGTTCCATTACATTGTTTTGCAGCAGAAGTCCGAGAGTGAAGGACTCTCCTCGGTCGATCTGATCCACAAAGGAACGGCAAGATCACAAGCGTTTGTTTAACAACTTCAACTTTACCCTTTTCCCTCCCGTGGGCAGCGATGCAGCCTGACAACCATAAAAGGACAAAGCAAGAAACAACCATAAAAGGACAAAGCAAGAAAGCCCTTCAACCTTCAAAGCACACTTTTTTTTTTTTTTTTT